TCGTCCGTCGTCGTCGCTCGTGGTTCGTCGCTCGTCGCTCATCGTCGTCGTGCGCGCGGACGCGGCTGGAGCCTGTTTTTTAGTCCGGGCCGATGACGGCAATCATCTGGGGGGGCAGGGGGTCGATGACGTCACGTTTCGCGCCGGCGGCGTCTGGGAGTGCTTAGGAATGACGGAGGACGGGTAGCACGAACATGTAGGTGGCGATATGCACCACAATGCCTGTGTACATCACAGCGCCCGCGTGCACCGGAGCGCCTGTGTACACCACACCGCCGATGTACACCACAGCAGCCGCGTGCAACACAGCGTCAGTTTGTGCCACCGTGCCTGCGGGCACAGCAGCTCCTGCGTACACCACAGCGCCTCCGTACCCCACATCAGCCGTGCGCAACGCAACACCAGTGTACACCACAATGCGCGCGTGCATTGCAGTGCCTGTGTACGTCACGGCGCCTGTGTGCACCACATCAACCGTGTGCAACACAACACCATTGTTGTGTATAGAATTTCGGAAGGGATCCTTGTGACAAAATGGAGCGCGTGTGGATTCCAGAGAAAACAATGGAAAACAAATCCTCATGGACAAAGGAGCGCCGCTGGAATCTACGAGTCCCCCCGAGTCCGCCCGCATCACCCTAACTCCCATTTGCGTCCAGGAGGCTCCAGCTAAACTGGCCGTCCGAGAACCAAGTGGACCACAGGCGCTGCGGTGCACGCAAGCACTGTGGTGTACACAGGCGTTGTGTTGCACATGGCTGCTGCGGTGTATGTACACCGGCGCTGTAGTGCTCCCAAGTATTGTGGTATACACGGGCGGTGCATTGCACACGGCTGTTGCGGTGTACGCAGGCGCTGTGGTGCACACGCGCGGTGTGATGCACGCGAGCGTTGTGGTGTACACAGGCGCAATGGGCAGATCGCCACTTAGATGCTGCTCGCGTCGTCGTCGTCGTCGCTCGTCGCTCGTCGCTCGTCGCGTCGTGCGCGCGGGCGCGGCTGTGGTGCCGGAGCCACTCGGCGGGGGGGGCGTCACGTCATACCCCCCCCCGCCCTCCCCCCCCCCCCATGACGCCCGTCATCGCCGAACATAAAGAAGCGCGCTCCTGTGGTTGTGGTTGTCTGGGCCTCGTAGGTCGGAGGATGGCGCCTCATCGCTGATGCATCGGCGATGCGACTCGATGTGAAGCCCGAGTTTCTCCACGCCGACGTCGCCGGTGCATCACCGACGTTGCTGGTGCATCGCCGATGCGTCGCCGATGCATCGCCGATACATCGCCAATGCATCGGCGATGCGGCGCGATCCTCCGACCCCATCTACTACCCTCGTCAACATTAACCTCGAGAATGGCGACCACGCCGCTGCGATGTCGGTGCGCCCTTCTCTGTCGATAGACGCCCCTCCAATGTCGGGGCCAGGGCAAAAGTGGTCTGACCGGGAACGACTCGGAAGTTCGATGATGATCGACATTGGAGGGGCGGGGCATACAAATACCTCGCAGTCGCCGCTACTCTGTCCAGTTCTCCCCACAAACGGTTCAGCCACGTAAGACATTTTTGAGGTTAATTTTGACGAGGGTTGTAGGAGGCCTCTAGGTTGGTCGCTTGTTGTCCCCGCATCGATCGACCCTAGCCTACCGCAACGTCTGCTGCTCGATTCTGTGGCTCGGGGCCTCGCGCTCCGCAGCGGTTCTTGTGGGGTCCGCCGCCTCGGGGGGCCCGGGCGCGGCCGGGGGAGGCGGCACCGAGGAGGTCAGTGCAGGCGGGAGAGGGGCTCAGAGATCGTGCAGGAGGAGAGCGAGAAGGAGGAGGAGGAGGAGGAGGAGGAGGAGGAGGAGGAGGAGGAGGAGGAGGAGGAGTGGAGGAGGGGAGGAGGAGAGGAGGAGGAGGAGAGGAGGGGAGGAGGAGGAGGGGCAGGAGGAGGAGGAGGGGGGGGGGGGGGAGGAGGAGGAGGAGGAGAGGAGGAGGAGGAGGAGGAGGAGGAGGAGGAGGAGGAGGAGGAGGAGGAGGAGGAGGGGGATGAGGAGGAGGAGGAGGAGAAGGAGGAAGAGGATGAAGAGGAGGGGGAGGAAGGGGAGGAGAAGAATGAGGAGGAGAGCGGGAAGAGGAGGAGGAGGAGGAGGAGGAGGAGGAGGAGGAGGAGGAGGAAGAGAACGAGGAGTAGGGAATGAGGAGGAGGAGAAGTAGGAGGATGGGGAGGAGGAGGAGGAGGACTCGGAGTCGGAGGAGGACGAGGAAGAGAACGAGGAGTAGGGAAGGAGGAGGAGGAGAAGTAGGAGGAGGGGGAGGAGGAGGAGAAGGAGGAGGAGGAGGAGGAGGAGAAGGAGGAGGAGGAGGAGGAGGAGGAGGAGGACGAGGATTTGATTTGCGCCTGCTTCGGTGCTAGCACAAAACTGGAGCGACGAAGCCGGATGAGCAGAACACACAACTCAACTAGCATAATGGCCTCGCCTTTGGCGGGGTCGCTGTGCGATGATGACATTTTGTGGGGCTCTGGTCCAAAGGACCACCGGAAACAGTACCGTCCGCTTTACAAGAGCATCAGAACATGTCTCATCCATGTGTTGACAACAGCATCAATCAGAGGCGGTTCGATTTTGTTGCGTTTCGTTTGGTCCTCCAGGCTGGCTGAAAGTTCAGAAGAGATTGGAAAGCGGCAGTAATTCGTCTAGCACCTTAGCGTCGTCTTTGGCGGGGCCATGGTGCATTATATTAAACATACGCTTCCAATTGTTTCGGTTGTGTCGGCTTTTAAAGTTCCCGCCGCAATCTTTCAATAGGCCTCTGGCTCTCTGGCCCTGGCACATGCAACCACAAGAACTGCATATAAGATCAAGCTGTCGGAGTCGTGGCAAGCGATGCCAATCCTATGCATACGAGGGTTTGTGGCAATATCGCTGAAAACGACCTTTGTTGCCAGAGCAGACTTCCGATGCGGAAGGTGCTTCAGCGTAACTACGCTTGTAGCAAACTGTACAAGGCCATAGTTGGGCTTAACAAACTTCAACGGTGCGAGGTTGAACCCGACGCCGCGCACGGGCGAGGGGCATGGGTGTCAGAAGGGGCTGGCAGTAAATACGGAGGCGGTGGAGGGGCAGCAGAGGAGGAGGCGAAGGCACCACCAGCCGAGCTGACCGCCGCCCCCGGCAACGCAGTAGCATGACCTGGACCGTAGTCTCCCAGGACCTCCGCAGTGAAGGCGTGGTTGGAGGACCTGCCCTCCCCGGCCACTCTCCTAGCTCGACGGCGGCCTTCACCACCGGTGCCGTGCTTGCGCGACAGGGGGAGACACTCCAGCGCTCCAGCCACGAATTTAAGGTACGTCGTGAGCGCACGGGTCCTGGAATCCTGCGAGTCAAACTCAGCAGACGATGGCTGGTTATGTCTATTTGCTCCTAGCTTGGCAGCTGTATCGGTCTGCTGGTTACCTAGGGCGTTCATCCATGCTAAGGACCCTTCTGGGAAACTAGCAGGGTCTACATGGGCAGGCACCTTCGTACAAGGCACCTTCGTCTCAGTAGTACCTACAATTCTAAGTTTGAGTCCATCATAGAAAGAACGCCTATAAAAAAAGGCTCTCTGACGGCTTGATATGGAGGCCTATTGCACCCTGATAGTCAGCTTTCACTTCGGTCGCTCTAGGCGCATGCGTGATCGCATCGAAGACCGTTACGTGCTCGGCAGCCAGACTGGTTTGAGGTAGGAGGTTTCCGACACGACCACACATCCTGGCGATGGCTTCCCCAACCTCACGCAGTTGAACGAGTCCCCAACCCGCTCGGTGGAAGTTTGGGTCACATGTTCAAAAGCAGACCCGCCACTGAACAGAACGCCTGTCAGGGCTACTTCAGGAGGAGAGCCATCGATAGACCACCACGAGAAATCTTCATGCCCGAATCCATCAGGCGGAAATGTGATGAATATTGATAGATTCTGGAGCAGTCTGAACACCCAGCAGCAAGATCTTAATAACGTCTGGATGGGTAAGAACATTCCAAACATCTGCCGTGATCAATTCGTTCCTAACGTGCTGCGCCAAGGGGCAGCCGAATATACGATGATGCAGGTCGTCACTGTGATGTCCACACGCACACGTACTATCTGCGTCGTAACCATGCTGCTGGACCAAATTCTTGTGGCGAGATGACATGGACGAGGAAGCAAGGAGACAGCGAACTACGGCTATGTCCAAGACTTCGTCCGATGGAATTCCTAGCTTGACGGCGGCCGCATGGTCATTAAATCTAGACCATTCCTTATGAAATAAAGTCCGGATCATTTTCGGCGAAGCATCGGTGAAAGGGTACGCAAGTCCGACATCCGATTCAACCAAAAATGGAGGCACAAAACGCCATCGAATTCGCCGAAGACTAAGAATTGCCGCACCTGCAGGACCTCTGACCCCTCCCCAGTTAGCTGGTGGATGATCAAGAGCGACTCGGAATAACCTCCTCAACTCCGCGAGAGGATGCAAGCCTCTGAAGCGCGGATTCGTGGCAGACTTCCAGACAATACTAGCCCATTGCACCACCGGAGCCAGACCTTGCTTCCATAGTGGATCGCCGAGCACAGACAACGAAACGCTTATGGGTCTGCTTTTGCTTGTACAACCTACTGTTGCGAGGTATTGCGTCTGGGCTGCTGCAAGCTCCCAGGGAGCCACACTGGCCACATCAGTGCCATAGTACCCCGCAGACTGCAAGCCTGACCTGTAGAATTTCTGGAGAGGCACGCCGACCGCTTTAGGGCTCTGATTCTAAGGCCCCTCTTCTTTCATGTCGAAAATCGTTCAGCAAGGACCCTTGCGTTCTTGGCCCGCCGGGCTCCCCCAAAAAAACAATGCCAATATTAGGGGCCGACGTGAGTGCTTTGCCCGCATGCCTGCCAAGACTTATCATCTTGAGAAGGAGGACGAGGAGGAGGAGTAGGAGGAGGAAAAGGAGGGAGAAGAGGGAGGGAGGGAGGGCGGGAGGGGTTGGTTTGCACAATCTGCCCCACAGGCGTCCGACGCCAGCCTGGCGCGCTCGGAGGCGGCAGCGCAGGAGGCACGAGAGGTCCCGCAGGCAGCGGAGGAAAAGCGCTCGAATCCTGAGCCGGTCGGCGTTGTCAGGGACAGATCCGAAGACGTCTTTTGCATGCTGTGTGCCGGTGACGAGGGGGCAGGAGTCGAAGAAGGAAAAGACGCGATGCACCTTAATTTCTGGCGCTCCGCGCGGGTCTCCTGGATCCGCGCCTGGGCCCCCCCCGGCGGCGCCTCCGGCGCCGCCACTGGCGCGGATCCAAGACATCCGCGCGGAGCGCCAACAGTTTATGTTTGTGGCGTTTGTTCTTTTAGAATCATCATCTGATCGGCTCCGTTAGGGAAAGCATATGCAGATCCGACGATGCTTTTTGCATGCTGTTTACCGGTGACGAGGGGGCAGGAGGGGGAGGAGGAAGGGCAAAAGGCAGACCATGAGGAAGAGGAGGAGGAAGATGGAGGAGGGAGTAGGGAGTGGGGAGGATGGAGGAGGGAAGGGGGAGAAGGGAAGAGGGACGATGAGGAGGAGGACCAGTCAACGCTCAAAGCGCATTAGCGATTTTGCAATAAGCCTTCCCTCCAAGTTCCCTCTTCATAGGTCCCTACAATAATTGATCTTCATTGCGGGAAGCTCCATCAAAAAACAACCGTATGAGAATCTTCAATCGTGTCAAACACCGCTCCTGGGATTTCACCGCCGCGAATAAACGTGACTGCTGCGTCCTGATAATTTTAAGCCGTGCCAGAACACCGATCCTTGGAATGCTGCGAACCGACGAGACTTGACAATCCTCAATGCTGCCAGAACATGCCACTGACGTAAACCCTACGAATCCTTGAACGTGTTGCAAACTTTTAAGACAAATGCGCGCGGTGCTAAGGCGAGAGTTCCCCCCAATTTCATAATACAAGTGAGGAGTGGCTGGGGAAAGGACTTCGCCCCAGCCCACGCAGGATGACAACCATACTCTAACGCCCTCTGGCGTGGCTGTGGAATCGAATTCGCCCCAGTCCACGCTTGGACACAACCCTTCCCTATTCCTTTGGCGTGGCTGGGGAATTGCATTCGCCCCAGCCCGCGCTCGGGCTCTAATCTTAATGTACCCCCTTCTGGTCCTGTTGGCCACCTACTCCAAGAGCCTTACCCCTCATCGGGGACACGCTTGTGGCAATGCTTACCATGTAAGCTGGGAAAGAGAAGGAGGAGGAACGGGCCAGAATTGGGGTGGGGGGTGGAGCGGGCGAGAGAAGTGGAAGGGAAAGGGGTAAGGGGGCTGCCTGGGAGAGGGGCGCAAGGAGCCCCAGCATGAGGGGTCAACGCATGAGGGGCCGGAGCCCCAGCATGAGGGGTCGGCGGGGGTCGCCGGAGGCCCCTGCCACTGTCGCCCCGCTGTTCACTCTCCTGAGGGCTCGACTGGGGTGCTCATCGGGTGCGGAACCCCCGCACCCTTGGTGGCGCCCCGTGCGTCCCCATACGAATACCCCCGAAGAGTATGGAACAGCATCGGCACGGGGAGAATGAGGAGGAGGAGGAGGAGGAAATGGAGCAGGAGGAGGAAAAGGAGGAGGAGGAGGAAGAAAAGGAGGAGGAGGAGACCTGTGAGCCGCGCCGTCGGAAGTCCGCTTCGCTATCGCCGTGCCCGTGCGTCGCTGGCGTGGCGTTCGCGCATGTTCCGCGCTGCTGTGGGCGTTCTCGAGTACCGGATGGAAAGGTGTGGCACGCGCGGCGTGTCCTGTTCGCGGCGCCACCACCAATGCGAATATCCCGCTGCCAGCTTCTGCGTGTTTTTTTTTGTTTTTTCCGTTTGGGACCAGCAGCGGGTCCGCGGATTCGTGACGAGTTCCGGTGCGCTTGTTTGCACAAAAACGGCATTCGCGCAGAAGGCGCCGCGCTGCTGGCCAAAGGGTCGAGAGACCCTTCGAACGGAAACAGCAATTGGATGAATGTGTTCCGCATGCTGTTCAGAGCTGACCCATCCACTTCACATCCACCATGGTTGTCATGTAGCACCCCGCAGTTGCGGAGACTGGTGAGGGGGCGGGCGCGGGGCAGGTCGCGGGTGGGTCGCGGGCAGGGTCGCAGGTCTTTCAGCCACGCACCCATGGGGTGAGTGACCGTTCGGCCCCTTCACTCTGATATCGTGACTGATTCGCAGCCGCATCAGTAATACTTGAACCATTCCTCCAACTTCATGACGCCAAATTCCACTCTGACTCGTATTCGTCAATTCTGCCACTGGCGGATACCTTCACGTGCTGCTCCTGGCCGACCCGTGGCCGATTGCCGCAGATTTGTGGTTGCGCACAACGTGCCAGCAGAGACCGTTTTGTTGAGCCCTTCGTAGGTTCGGCTTAGAGCTTGTAATGGGGCACGGGAACAAAATGGCAAACACGAGCGCGGCGACGAGCAGGCGAAAGGGTTCAGAGAGGAACTGGCAGACACGGGTAAGACAAGAAAGTGGTAACACGGTGTAGGGTGGAACCGGCCGCGGAGCTTGAACATGGCAGCGCGTGGGTACGGTAGGTTCGCGTCGTTCCCACTGGCGGCGACCCCGCCGCTGGCGTTCAATGTTGAAAGCCGGTGGCGACCCATAGTCGGTCGATGTTGAACGACCTGACGTTTCGGAGACGGCCGATCGTTCAAGGAGGAACGATCCCCGCAGTGCACAGAGAACCGACGTCGAAACCGGCACGACGCGAACCTGCCGTATGGTGGTTCCCTGTGGCGTCGGGCCAGCTTGTCGGTCAACCCCGTGGGGAGCACGGGAGCAGGACCGCCGCGCCCCCCCCCCGCCACCAGAGGCCGCGGGGCGTCCGGTGAACCCTCTCGTCGAGGCGGCGCTCTGCTCTCGGGGCTTACGGTCTTCCACACGGTCTCGTCAGCTCCCATCCCCCGCGCCAGTGTTCGTCTTCCTTCACAGCTTCGTTGTCCCCGCCTCGGCCTTCGTTTCATTTTTGCATGCGTATCCGTTGTCGTAGCAGTCCTGTGTCTCTGTCTTAGTTCCGGTATCAGTCTCAGTCAATGCGCTCCCGTCTTCACTTCTGTCCCATGTCCTATTGGTCTCCACGATGTCCTGTTTATTCTTGCTGAGAATATGCGGGGATGTAACACACACCAGGAGACGGCATACGGGGTGATGCGAATAGGAAGGAGAGGGGGCGAGGAAGAGAATCTGTGATCATACTTATGTACGAAGCAATGATGCGGACATTTGTCCCGACTTCAGGAGTCATATCCAGATGGAACTGCAGCGCGTACAGAGCACGCGTAAACAAAACAAGTGGTGCGTGAGCGCCCAGGCTAATATAGCACAAGCAGGGAGGTGTAAGCAATACCTTTGAGAATGCGTGCAGTATTTTTGACGATCGACATGGAGCGTGTGACATCATCGGTTCACCAAGGTGTTCGTACATGCGTTAAACAGCAGCGTCGAACAAGCGTGCGCGATCACGAATATACTAGCGACTATGCTAAGGACGTGAGTTGGTCTTACACGGTCAAACATGTTACCAACGTGGGTCATAGTATCTAACGGCCTTCAGCCCATCTCCTCCACCGTGCCTGGGTTGTGGGCATGAAGCATATAGGATGTTCGTTGGGACTTCGTGGGGAGCCTCTCGGGGCGCTCTTGGAGGCAGTTTGGAGGCCACTTGGGAAATCTGAGGGCCGCTTTTGGGCCTCCTGGGGGCCTCCTGGGGGCCTCTGCCTTTGGGGTCCTCTCCGGAGGCCTCTCGGAGGCCTCCTGGGGCGCCTCTCGGGGGCCTCGTGCGCCGTCTCGAGTTGCGGTTCGGCGTCCTGGGCCAATCTTCGGGACCTCTTGGGCCCCGTCGCGTCTCCCAGCGTGACTCTTGGGGTCCTCTTGGCCCGGCCTGGGGCACTCCTGGGCCGAAGCCAGAATCAGCCACCACTTCCCAGAGCCCAGGGGGGCACGCACCAGGCCCCAAGAGATCTCGGAGATTGGGGCCTGGCCTCCGAAGCAAGGCCCCGAAGCTGTTGAGGCCCAAATTGCTCCCGTGCGAGGGCGACGTGCACGTTCGCGAGGACGGCTGGCCTTTTCGCCGGCCGACGCACGGGCGGCGCACGGGCGACGAATGCGCGACGCACCCCTTGTCGCGAAGGGGGGGGTCAGCACGCCGTTCGTACTACTGGGCCTTAACGCCCGAAGCACACACCTCAGGATTGAGGACTGAGGTTCAGATCGGGGAAAAGAGCCTGAAGACACGCCCACTCCGTGCCCAGCGGCATGGTGGCGGACATGATAGATGCATACACATGCGCAAAGTCGTCATCAGTTCACCGAAAAATGGGAACTACGTATGAAGCCAGAACGCAACTATTATGTCCCAAGGTATGAGCAAATCGAGCAAGCGTGTTGAGCAAGTATTGTCTTGGCACCCTGATGCCGCGATCTGCGTGAGCGGTGCGTCCGAGTTTCCTGATGTTGAGTATGTCCCACGAGAAACGCCCAATGAATTTCACGCGCCCGCGCAAATAATCACTTGTGAGTTCTACAGTCGCGCCATGAAGATCACGTGTCTACGCGAGTCCAACCAGAGGACTACTCTCTATAATCCCATATGTAACGAGTCGAGCGCAACAGACTTCATGTGCATGCGTACGTTTTAATCCCACTTGCTCGTCCTGAACTTATTGGTCGGTTCCGCCGGTTTTCCTTCTTATTTCTTTATCCGGGCCCGTCGGGCCTCAAAGAGAGGTAAGAAAGAACCGAGTTGGGTACCTTGCCCCCGCCCGCCCTCAACGTGCGCGATTGCCTGCTGCTGCATGTGCCTCCCCCCTCTCCTCCTGCATGTTGGCGCCTGCTCGCCGCGTTCTCCCTCTTCCCCGTTGCTCCTACTCCTCTTCCTCCTCCTCCTCCTGCTGCTCCTTCTCCTCCTCCTCCTCCTCCTCCTCTTGGTCATTGTTCTGCCCGTTCCTTCGCCAGAGCTGCCGGCACGGCCGGTGAGCCCGTGCGTCGAGGCGTGCTCGGGGCCGACGGGCCTTTGTGAGCAGGTGGCTCGGTGCTTCGCTCGCCGGGTCGCACACAGCGCGGCAGCGGCGGCGAGGCCTCTCTCAGGAAGGAAAAAACACACAGACACAATTCATCGTCGACTCCCAGGGGAATATGGGGAGCTGTAGGTAAGTGGGGGGGAAGACGAAAACCCTGAACATATAATAAAATATCGGATGTCCTTTACTTGTGTAAATTTATTTGTGTGTGTCCCAGCGCCCCTTTAGTCGTGGCCGTCCGGGCAGCGAATCGACCAGTGAGAGGTGGATTTTGGGAGCTCTTCGGGCGGCCGGCGGTATCGGCCGAAGCCCCCAGAGGGGCGTGTCGGAATCACATGTCGATGGTTCGTGTGCCTCCAGGGCCTCCCGTCGTTGTCTCTTTGCTGGACCAGCCTCAGCTGGCACCGCGGAACATGACCTGGAGGCCGTCCTCCAGCGTCCGGGCAGAACACGCGCCCGCCGCCCTGACGCAACGCGAAGGCGGCCAGGAGCGATGGTCGCAGGTTCGTTTTTCCCTTGGTCTGGGTCAGGGGCTGCGGCTCGCAGGCCAGAGAGGTTAAAGTCGCACAAATCGCACATGTGATCGTTTTCTTATTCATTGTTTTGCCGATCGGCGCAGGCCCTCGCACCCCTCCCCGCCATGGAATGTATCTTGGATGTTTTTGGCGCCTGTTTCGAGCGGGTGGAGTCTCCCTCCATAGGACGCACTGTTACAAACAGTCACACTAAGCAGAGGTCCAGAGCCAGACCTCCCACTTTCCTCCCAATGTCGAAACGCCGAATCAGAAAAAAGTTGACCACCTTTTCGCCCCTTCGGGGCTGTCCAGGCGGCGGGGCTTCTCAAGATGCCTCCGGCCTTCTGAGAGGTCTTCTGTGTCGGGGAAGGCTCAGAACATTTTTTTCGAGCCTTCTAAGATCATCGAGGATAAAAGAACCCCTAACCCTAATAATACAGTGAAGACGTGGCCTCACTGAGGTCCCCGTCGTTGCATTAGGGATATTAATCAGGGCGGGTCTGGTTCGACACATCTGCAGAAAAGGCCCCCCCTATCGCTAATGTTTCTGGCCCTCCGAACTTAGGTCCCCTCCCAAGTGGTTCGGGGTCCTTTCTTTGGTTCACCCCGAGAAGGCTCGCCCCTCCTCGCTTTCCTCCCCCCCCGCTCGCCGCCGAACCCTCGCCCGATGCCGCTGCGCCAGGGCACGGCTGCTGCCGCTCCTGCTCCCGCCTGCTGCCGGTGCTGTTGCCTCCGCCGCCGTCGCCCTGCCGCCGCCTCTGCTCACGCCCCTCCTCGTCCCTGCTGCTTCTCGTCCTCGTCCTTGGTGTCATTCCTCGTCCTCGTCGCCGTCCTCGTCCTACTCCTCATCCTTGTCCTCCTCCTCGCCCGCGTCCTTCCTGCTCCTCGTCCGCGTCACCCTTCCCCATTCCCCCCCCACTGCCCACCCCCCCGAGCGCGGCGCCGCTTCAGGGCTCCCTGCTGGAGTCCCAGGAGGCCAGCCAGGACGGTTGGGCCATCGACGCACCAGGGTCGAACAAGCTGGTCTTCTCCTGCCGGCTGGGCGACGCGGAGACGCCCCCTCACTTGTGCCCCTCCCGTCTTCCTCGCCCCTCCCAGCTTATGACTTGGGTTGACTTGCCGCAGTCAGTTCTGTCTGTCTTGTTTTGTCCTCTCCTGTCTTATCTGCGTCTGTCTGTCCGTAATTCTGTTCTGCCCGTCCCTGCCCGTCTTTCTGTCCCGTCCTGTCCTGCCAGTTTGTCACTATCTCTCTGGGTGGATGCTCGACCCCTGCGCAGGACATGAGGGTCTTCTCCCAGGCGCCTCGTGCCCCGCCGCCGCTGCTTTCCTCGTGTTACAGCTTCTGTCCGGTCATACGAGCTACGAGCGCATTCAGTGTCTGTTCCGAGGAGGAGGAGGAGGAGGAGGAGAAGGAGGAGGGGAAGGAGCAGGAGGAGGAGAAGGAGGGGAAGGAGCAGGAGGAGATGGAGGAGGAGGAGGAGGAGGAGGAGGAGGAGGAGGAGGAGGAGGACGAGGAGGAGGAGGAGAAGGAGGAGGAGGAGGAGGAGGAGGAGGAGGAGGGGGAGGAGCAGGAGGATATTGAGGAGGAGGAGGAGGAGGAGGAGGATGGGGGAGGGGCGGAGGAGGAGAAGGAGGAGGAGGAGGAGGAGGAAGAGGAGGAGGAGGAGGAGGGAGCGGAGAAGGAGGAAGAGGACAGGAAACGGAAACGGTGGAGGAGTGGCGGGAGGAAGAGACAGGGAAAGAATACGGATCTGGGGAGGAGGGTCATTCTGTTCGGGGAGGCCTAGGCTTTGCGAGTCCGGCCTACGTAGTACTGGTCGAGTTGCTAACACCTTGCCGAAGTGGCTACACAGCTCCAACAATTTCCCTTTCGAGTTTCGAGCTCCAGGGGGAAAACTTAACAGGACCTAGACATCCGTCGTCGTCATTTTTCCGCAACGTCGGACGCTGGAGGTCAGGACGCCTGCCTGAGGACCGATTTTTCATTCTGAGTTGTTTTATGATGATCCCGGGGCACGTCGAGGGCCCCCACAGGCCGAAAACGGCGGAATGCCTCGTTTTTTTATGCCCGCCACGTAGGGGGTTGGATCCTCTTCCTCCTCATTCTCCTTTCCTTGATCGTCTGTCAACTCTGTCCTCTTCCCGTGCTTGATCGCCTGCGTGTGTGTGTGTGTTTGTGTGTGTGTTTGTGTGTGTGTGTGTGCGTGTGTGCGCGTATTGTTTTGTTTTTTTTAGAGGGCAGAGCTGAGCTGGGGCTCTGTGGGCATTATGGCCTTCGGCCCATTCTCCCGCCGTGCCCTGGTTGTGGGTGATAGTGAAGCCTCTGGGAGGCTCGTGGGGGTGTCGTGAGAGGGCTCTCGGTTTTTTAAGGCAGTTTTGAAGCCTATAGGGCGCCGTTTTGGGGCCTCTTGGGGCGTCTTGGGGGCCTTGTCGAGGTCCCTTGGGGGCTCTGGGGGGCCTCTTGGGACCTCGAGAGGGTATCTTGGGGCTGAAGGCAGGAATCATCTGTTCGGGCTTCCCCTCTGGGGCCTGTCTTGGCTCTGTTGTCGGGGCTTTCTTAGGCCGTCCCACCCCGGTAACCCTCCCCAGCAGAGCTGAAGCTCAAGGCTCTACGCTGTAGCTTGGGCTCTTTGAACCTCACACGCCAGATCGGCGGATTAGCGTCTTCGGTCCTTCAGCATGATGCTCTGCTGTGCTGGCCACTTCCTGTCGTTCGTGATGGTGCTCTCGCCCTATCGCGGGCCACATCTATGGATCCGATCATTTTCTCGTCGTTGCCGTCCTCGTGTCCCTTCCTCTGCCTTCCCCTGCTGCTCGTCTTCTGCTCAGATGGGTTCTGCTCGTTAGTCTCTTTGCCTTTCTCCTGCTTCTCCTCCGATGTGCTAAGAAAGCGATACTGATGTGCTGCAAATTATGGGTAAGATCTTGCAAACGCTATTCGGGGATCAAGGCCTTGTTGGACACGTTAGTTGGCGGGTATCAGTTGGGGCCCTCTTTGGCCGTCCTGGCGCTCTCTTGGGGCGTTCTTGGGGCGATGTTGGAGGCTGTTTGGGCCGTCATGGGCGTGGTTATAGCTCCACTCCGCTGGGCCTGCCAGGAGCCCACGACAGTTGGGAAAGTTGCGTAGTTCGCAGCCCCCGCAGGGGAGCCGCGAGGTCTCGGCTGGGTGTGTTTTCACAACTCCACTCCGCTGGGCCTCCCGAGAGCCCACGAAAGTGGCGTCAGTTGCGCTATTCGCAGCCACCCAGGGGAGCCGCGAGGTCTTGGCTGGTTGTGCTTACAACTCTACTCCGCTGAGCCTCCCATGAGCCCACGACAGTTGGGAAAGTTGCGCAGTTCGCAGCCCCCGCAGGGGAGCCGCGAGGTCTCGGCTGGGTGTGTTTTCACAACTCCACTCCGCTGGGCTTCCCGAGAGCCCACGAAAGTGGCGTCAGTTGCGCACTTCGCAGCCACCCAGGGAGCCGCGATGCCTTGGCTGGGTGTGTTTACAACTCCACTCCGCTGAGCCTCTCAGGAGCCCACGAAAGTGGCGACAGTTGCGCAGTTCGCAGCCCCCGCAGGAGCCGCGAGGTCTCGGCTGCGTGTGCTTACAATTCCACTCAGCTGGGCTTCCGAGGAACCCACGAAGCTGGCGACACCTTCACACTTGGCAGTCACCCCAGGGAGCCGCGACATCCACTCTCCCAGGAGCACACGAGAGAGGCAGAATCACAACGGGGCTGCAACGCAAGCAGGACGAAGGAGAGCAGGGAGGAGGAAGAGAAGGAAGAGGAGACAGGAGGCAGGAAGTAGGAGCCAGGAGGCAGGCGGGGGAAGAGGAAGGAGGAGTGGAGATCACAGTGCTTTATCCCAAACGAGAACCTAACACAGGAGGTTTGGGAAACACAACGCAATGGCTCGCGGAGCCCACGAGCATGACCCAAGATTTTACCCCAATGTGTATTCTGTATCGTTTTCTGACAGGGATGGTGGGGGGTGTTGGTATTGCTCCTGGTCGGCTGCCAGTCGCCTATGGGACGGGGTGCTTAAAAATAGGGAGCAGTGATAGACCCATCCCCGAAGGGGCAGAGGGAGGATGGAAGATGAAGCACGTTAAGCCACTCACGCCCGGAAGGCTGGTGAGATTCTCCTGTCTCCCCTGACAACGCCCGGATTCTGATCCGCCCCCCCGCGCATTTGGTACCCTCTACAATATTTTATCTAAACGTCGGAGGTTGGGGGGCGAGATCGCAGTGAAACGGAGACCCCACACCGGGAAATCGGTTTCGGTCTCGTGTTCGTGTCGTGCGTGCGGGCGAGGCGAAGCTGCGCGTGATCCTCCTGTAGCTAGGCCGAAGTAGGAGCGAAAGTCCGTTCCCGTCCGCCGGTGGCTGGTTGGGCTGGGCGGTGTCCCGCGGTGTCCCGTGGTGTCCCGTGGTGGCCCGTGGTGTCCCGTGGTGTCCCGTGGTGTCCCGTTGAGTGAGATCGATAGTGAGATCGATAGTGAGATCGACAAGTGTCCCGTGGTGTCCCGTGGTGTCCTGTGGAGTGAGATCGATCGTGATATCGATTGAGTCAGATGTTGGTTCCCCCCCTTTCTCCCCCCCCCAACAACCTCCTTATCACCCGAAGGGTGGTCATATAGGTATTTCAACAACATTCCTGGATCCGAATCCTTCCTCGTCTTTGCCGGCTCCCTCATTTCCCCTTCGCCTTCTCCTGTTGCTCCCGCTCCTCGTAGTCCTCCCTTTCGTTGCTGCTGCTCTTCCTCTCCTCACCTTCTGCTGCTGCTGCTGCTGCTCCTCCTTCTCCTCTGCTTCCCGCCCACTGCACGAAGGCCCCTCTCGCCCCGCCGACTGCAGCAGATGGCGCGGCGAATCCTGCTGCTGCCGTCTGTGGATCACTGCCGTCCAGGACGCCCCAGTGGGCAGGGGACGGGGGGGGGGGGAGGATGTCGGATGTGGCGCGAGCGCATCCAGCACGGCCTCTCCCTTTCTCCTGTCTCCCCTCCTCCTTCTCCAGCGCGGCTTCTGGGCAGGACGAGATCGCGCCGTGGCCAGAAGAGAGGAATGGTGGCGCTTGATCTCGTCCTGCTCAGCAGCTGTGCTCACGAGGTGGAGGAGGTGGCGGCGCTTTCGCTTGTCCTGCCGAGTGTGCGTTCGATCGCGTGTACGTATGTTTTCCTGGTGCAGGGCGAGGTGATGTTTTTGTGGTCTAGATATCCGTCGAGGGGAGAGCTCAGGTCGTATGCTCACTGATTGAGAGGCCAACACCCAGCGAACGTGATCTTCTCTTCCGAACCTCGTCCAGTGAAAGCACGACTGACGTCCCGAGCGAGCCTTGATTATCGTTGCGGCGACGCCGTGTGCTCGCACGGTATGACTCTTCAACGATGCCTCGGCGTGTTATTTCCATGCGTTTTGGGTATTCCCATGTTGCTTGGACAGGTTGCGGACGATGTCACGTCTTGTTATTGTTCCAGTAGCGATCACCTTGTCGGAGGCTTTCTCTTCGAGTGCGGCGCAGCTGACGCGTCTCGACCTCTCCTGCAACCAGGCAGCCAGCGCTCTCACCAAAGGAAATGAGCTGAGGGTAAAGAGTTGCAGTGCTTGTTGGACACGCCGGCATGAGCAGCTTTCACTGCAATCGCGTACCTGTATTATACGCAGAGAACTGCATAACGGTGGTCCCGGACCATAGTCACTCGACGACAGCCGATCGATCATTTGGGCTTGGTTCCAGGCCATTTTCAGGGATTACTGGGCCGCAGCAGTTCTATTGATGCGGCACTGGCACAGTTCAACTATCAGCTTGCAGCGCCCTGGACTGACATGGTTTTGTTGTCAGGGGTGTCAGGGATTGCGGTTGACTTTTCTTACGTCTGTCAAGCAAGGATAATGGAAGCTGGGAGAGGGGAGGGAAGCAGAGTCATGAGGGTGTGGAGGAGAAGGTAGGGGACGCATAATGCCAGAGGATGGTGGAGGAGGAGGAGGAGGAGGAGGAGGAGGAGGAGGAGGAGGAGGAGGGGGAGGGGGAGGGGGAGGACGAGGAGAGGGAGGAGGAGAAGGAAGAGGAGGAGGAGGAGGAGGAGGAGGAGGAGGAGGAGGAGGAGGAGGGGAAGGGGAGGGGGAGGGGGGAGGGGAGGAGGAGGAGGAGGAGGAGGGGAGGAGGAGGAGGAGGAGGAGGAGGAGGAGGTGGAGGACGTGGAGGAGGGAAGGAGGAGGAGGAGGAGGAGGAGGAGGAGACGGAGGAGGAGAAGGAGGAGGAGGAGGAGGAGGAGAGGAGGAGGAGGAGGAGGAGGAGGAGGAGGAGACGAGTCTCGGTGGGTCCCCAACACGTCACTTTGGGGTCCGTGAATGGTCTTTTCCGGGGGGGGTCTCGATGAATCTACGTGTGATACTCGGCAGGTTTCTCGAGGGTTGGGCGAGATGTGGCCTTTCGACGCGGTCCTCACGAGATTGTAGTGGCCTCCGGCCAGTGCCGCCGATCCGGGGTGCTACCCGTTCTGCTTGCAACGGATGACCTTTTATGTATAAAAGTAGAGCACTCGCTCGAGACATCCTCATAATATAGAGAGGTTGAGCTCGCTTGGGCAACCTTCGGATATTCGAAAGTGACGATCTCGCATGAACAGCCAAACTCATGGGATGTCCACTCCCACCTTCCGGGCCTGGATGGCGTCAGCCATGGCGTCAGCCCCCGCCACCCCCCGACTCTCCCGTCCCGGGCGTGAATGGCGTCAGCCATGGCGTCGGCCTTCCTCCCCCCTCTCCTCTCCCGAGCCTGAATGGCGTCAGCCCCCCCCCGACAGAGTGAAGCTTGAGCGAGATCCCCCGGCCCTCCCCCCTCCCGGGCCTGAATGGCGTCAGCCATGGCCCCTTCTCCCCGACTCCTCCCTCGCGGGCCTGAATGGCGTCAGCCATGGCGTCACCCCCCCCTGCTACCTCCTGGGCCTGGATGGCGTCAGCTATGGCGTCAGCCGCCTCCCCCCTGACAGAGCGAAGCTTGAGCGAGCTCCCCCCCCTTCCCCCTCCCGGGTCTGAAAGGCGTCAGCCATGGCGTCAGTTCCCCCACTCCTCCGACTCCCTCCTCCCGGGCCTGAAGCTCCCCCTCCCCCCTCCCCCCTCCTGGGCCTGAATGCAGTCAGCTATGGCGTCCGCCGCCTTCCCCCCGACAGAGCGAAGCTTGAGCGAGCTCCACCTCCCCCTTCCTCCCTCCCGGGGCTGAATGGCGTCAGCCATGGCGTCAGCCATGGCGTCAGCCCCCCCCCCCGACATCCTCCCGGGCCTGACTGGCGTCAGCCCCCTCCCCCCCTCTTCCCTCCTGGGCCTGAATGGCGTCAGCCCCCCCCCCTTCTCCCTCGCGGGATTGAATGGTGTCAGCCCCCCCACCCCCCCGACAGAGCGAAGCCTCCCCCCCTCCTCGTCAGCCCCCCACCCCCCGACAAGCGAAGCCTCCCCCCCTTGCCTCCTCCCTCCCTGCCTGCATGCCGTCAGCCCTCCCCCCCTCCCTCCTCCTTCCCAGGCTTAAATGGCGTCCAGCCCCCCCCCCCCGCCCCCCGACAGAGCGCAGCCCCTCCTCGCTCCCGGCCTGATGGCGTCAGCTTCCCCCCCCCGCTCTTCCATCCCGGGCCTGAATGCGTTCGTCACCCCCTCCAACTCCCTCTGCTCCCGGGCCTGAATTGCGTCAGCCCCCCCCCCCGGCCGCCCTCTCCTCCCGGGCTGGATGGGCGTTCAGCTCCCCCCTCCTGCCCCCACCCCTCCCAACACAGAGCGATCCCCCTTCCTCAGTCCGGGCCTGAAGGGCGTCATCCCCCCCCTCACCCCTCGCCCCCTCTCTCCCCTTCCCTTGCCTGAATGGCGTCAGCCCCCCCCCCCCCCTCGCCCCCCTCCTCCTGTCCGCATAACCCCCCCTTCCCTGAACAGAGGAAGTCCCCCCCCACCCTACATCCTCCCTCCCGGGCCGAATGTCGTCAGCTTCCCCTCTCACCCTCCGTGCCTCCCGGGCCTGATGGCGTCATTCCCCCTCCCCCTCCCTCCCTCCCTGGGCCTGATGGGAGCGGTCGCCCCCCCTCCTCCCTCCCGGGCTTGTCATGGCGTCAGCCATGGCGTCAGCCCTCCCCCCCGACTCCCTCCCACCGGGCCTGAATGGCGTCCGCCCACCTCCCCCTCGACAGAACGAGCCCTCCTCCCTCCCGGCCCGAATGGCGCCAGCCCCCCCCCCCTCCTCCTGTCCTCATTCCTCACGGGCCATGAATGGCGTCTGCCCCACCCCCCCCCCTTCCTCCCTCCCGGGCCTGAATGGCGTCAGCCCCCCCCATCCCTCCTCCCTCCTGGGCCTGAGTGGCGTCAGTCCCCCCTCCGACAGAGCGAAGCTTGAGCAAGCTCAAGCCCACGCTCTCAGAAACTCACACGCCGGGTCGGCGGATTTTCGGAGGTGCCTGCGAGCCCGCAGTGCGCAGATACAAACATGAAGGGAAACACTTATGTAAGAAAGGGGTCCTCCTCCTCTCCGCTCTTCCTCCTCCTCCTCCTTCTCCTTCTGCTTCTCCGCCTCCTCTTTATCCTCTTTCTCCTCCTCCTCCTCCTCCTCCTCCTCCTCCTCCTCCTCCTCCTCCTCCTCTCCTCTCCTCTCTCCTCCTCCTCCTCCGGAGAAGATGGATGAGAAGGAGAAGAAGAAGCCGAAGAAGAAGAAGAAGAAGAAAAAGGAGGAGGAGGAGGAGGAGGAGGAGGAGGACAAGGGGGAGGAGGAACGGGCTCCTGCAGTAAAGAGGTCCTGGAGCGCTTCTACGGTTTTCGGGCTTCGGGGCCCTCCCAGGCCATCGGGCCGCCAAAACAAGCACTCAGGACGAAGAGTTGGTCCTGGCCACAGCCCCAGGGACCAGGGCCCGTTTTCACCAGGGTCCTCTTTCCCTCATTGTTGGAGGGCTTCATGCCTGGCGCCCGTTGGCGCGCTCTGTGAGCTGGTGTAGCCGCTTCGCCTTCGAACTCCTACCACGGCTCTCGCGACCCTTCGTGCACGAGCGTGCTGCGGAGGGGCTCTCCACGAGGCTCCCCAGGGGCCGCTGCCACCCAGCTGCTTTCACGACGAGGCAGAGGCCCCAGGCACGCCTGCCGCCATCACGGCGCGGGCGCGGGGCCCAGCACTCCGACAGGCGTGCACCCGGCATCTCGCCCGGGCGAGCGCGGGGGACACCTCGAGGAACCTTCCTCCCTCCCTCCCTCCCTCCTCGCCGCCCTCCTCCTCCGTAGCCGCTTCGGCTCGATGCTGGGCCCGGCCTCGCATGCTGAACTCCTGGGCGCCCGCGCGGGGGTCGGCGCTGCTGCTGGGGCGTGGGCCCGGGCCGCGCCGACCCAGGGGCACAGGGCCGCCGCCCTGGGCGTGGCCCCGGCGCGCAGCGTCACGCCGCTGCCGCGCGGCCGCGGCGGCGGCGGCGGCCGTCGCGCTCGGGCGCGCGTGGCCGGGGTCGGCCGCCGGAGGGCTGCACGCGGTCCGCGGCGCAGCGTGGCCGTCGGTCGGCGCTGCGGCCATGGCGGGCGCGGCGCCCGCCCCGCAGAAGAGGCGCGGCGCCGGGCTGTGCACGCCAGGCGGCCAGGCGGAGGCGCCGAAGCGGCAGAGGCCGGGAGCCTCGGGGGCGCACACTCGGATAGACAAGGTGCTCTTCCTCGGCACCGGCTCCGCCGTGCCGGTGCCTGGCAAGAGGAACATGTCCAGCTTGGCCGTGCTGCTCAGCAACGGATCGGCTATCCTGGTGGACTGCGGAGAGGGCACCCAGCACCACCTGCGGGTCAGCACGTTGCTGAAGGCCGCGAGGATAGAAGCAGTCTTGCTGACGCACCTTCATGGCGACCACTGCTTCGGTATCTTCGGGCTCCTGCACACCATCGCGACTGAAGGCCGGAAGGACCCCGTCCTCTTGGTCGGCCCAGAAGGTCTCAAGCAAATGGTCGAAACAGTCATGGACTGCTCGGGCGGCTGGATCCCCGGTGACAGCTTCCCGATCGAGTTTCTCGAGATCCCGAACTGCGGCCAGCCTGGAGGCGAGGACCTGGTGGGCCTGGACGGCTACGGCCCCCGCAAGCAAGGGTTCAGCCGGAGCGCCTGCGGCCGAGCACGGCCGGTGCCGCTCGGGACGCGGGCGGGGCTCGCCTTGCAGGCCGTGCCGCTGGTCCACTCGGTGCCCGACTGGGGCTACATACTGACGGAGCCAGACCGGCCCGGGGCGCTCGACGCGCAGCGGGCGGCGGAACTCGGCGTGCCCGCCAAGAGCCCCCTGCTCGGCCGCCTCAAGCAGGGCGCCAGCGTGCAGCTCGAGGACGGGAGCGTGGTCGTGCCAGAGCAGGTCGTCGGGCCTCCGATCCGGGGGCGCACCGTCGCGGTGCTGCAGGACACGTGCGACTCCAGGGCGGCGCTGGCGCCCTGCGCGGGCGCCGCCTGCGTCATACACGAGGCCACGTTCGAGGAGTCGATGGAGGCGGACGCCTGGGCCAAGGGCCACGCCACGAGCGCGATGGCGGCCCGCTTCGCGGCGGAGTGCGGAGCCCGCAGGCTCGTGCTGACGCACTTCTCGGCGAGGTACTCGTGCGGCCCACTGGTCGACGCCGTGGGCGGCGCGGCCGCGGACGCGGCGGAGCAGCTGGGGGATGAGGCCCGGAGGATCCTCGGGGAGAAGGTGCCGGTGGTCGTCGCGAGAGATTTCATGGTGCTGAGAGGAGATCGAGACTTTGAGCCGGAGCCCGGCCTTGCCCTGAGGAGGGCTCCTTGGCACCGCTCGGCTGATGAGTGTGGCATCTGTGGCGAAGAGAAGTAGCTTTCTGCGCGGTGTGGGCTGGCCCGAAAATCAATGCTGTTTTGTGGAGGCAGGGCCATCTCGACAGTGGAGAAGCGGAGGGCAGCAGGGTGTTGGTGGGTTCAGCTCGGCAGAGCAATTCGCTCACCCCTGACTTGTATCCTCTTTCTGGCCCGGTGCAGGTCACAGACGCAGGCGCTGCTACCTTGGCGCGATCATTATTGGAGGGTTGGGAAGAGTGTGTGCTTCTTTCGCTCTCTTCGCCTGTACACATTCGGTACTCGCACACTCGCTAACTTGCACAGTTGTATTTGCGGGGCCTGCGCCTTTCTCATTCGCACGCAGGAGAAGTGACCGCAGTGAAGAACTTGCGTTGTCCAGTAGCCAGACCTATAAGACATTGAACATCGAGCACCAGGGTCTCCTACCTTCGTTTGGTTCTCTTCGGGCTCCTGGTTGCCGCAAATGTGCGTCTGGTCTGTTCAGGAGGCAAGGCGATGAAGGCGGGTGAGGAGCAAGGGAAGAATTAGAGGATGAAGAGAAGAGGAACGCGCAGAAGGAAGAGGAATGTGGGCAGGATGATGATGCTGATGATGACGATGACGACGATGATGATGATGATGCTGCTGATGATGGTAACGATAATGATAATGATGATGGTGATGATAATCGCGATGATTGATTGATTGAGCGGTTGATTGTATTGTTGTTGATGATGAGGATGATGAATATGATGATGCTGATGATGATGTTGCTGATGATGATGGTGGTAATGATGCTGATGATTGATTGAATGATATGTTGATTTGATTGTTGCTGATTGATGATGATACGATGATGATGATGATGATGATGATGATGATGATGATGATGATGGGGATGATGATGATCACGATGATGATAAAAAGGTGATGAGGAAGATGATGATGAGGAAAAGGAGGTGGATGGGGATGAGGATGGGGATGAGGATGATCATGGTGTTGGTAGTGGTGATGATGATAATGACGATTATGCTGATGATGCTGATGATTATGATTATGATTCGGCTGATGATGATGCTGTTGATGATGATGCTGATGATGATCGTGATGATGAGGTTGCTGATGATGAGGAGGAGGATGAGGATGATAATGACGATCATGATGCTGATCATGATGCTGATGATGATGCTGCTGCTGCTGATGAGGAT